GGGTAAAGGCAGCACTGTGGGACCCATCTGTGACACAGGAGCCAAGTAAGTGCAGACAGCAGAACAGCCACAAGAAAGTGACAAATGATTATCAGGGACACCTGCAGCTCTCTCTCAGAAGGAAGATTTCAGGAAAAATACAGTGGGTCTTGTCTCCTAAAACAGATTCCTAAAAATGAGCACCGAGATCAAACTCTTCCAGCTCAGCATACTGGGTATTGCTAGGCTCACTGACACCGAAGATGACTGACAGTTCCTTAGTGTAGCATCCACTTTTCTGTCCCTTCCTTGGACATGTTCCCCATATGCTGCCTTTGGTGAAGTTACTCACTGCAAAATAACCCTCTGGGAGGAACACCTCCTTCTGCAACCTCAGAAGGCTCACCTTGTACTCGATGTTCCCATCTTCTGCCTGGTTAGAGAACGAAACAAGAGAGAAAGGTTAGATGCTGCGCCAGCAGGGACTTCTATGGGCATCAGCAGCCCAGATGCTCTGCAGCTTGTGCTGATGGTTTCAGAGAGAGGGAAAGTGGCAGAAATATACTATGTTAAGTCACAGCCTCTTCTGCCATTCATCCCTACACTCAGCTGGAACTTACTTTAGGTTTGTTTCTGCTGTTTGCATCCTACGTCATGAAAACTAGAGGACAAAACTAGAGCAGAGGGTAATACTGTTTTGGGAGGATTTTTTTACTGTCAGTAAAGAATAGGGCCAGTCTAACAGCCACAGAGAGAGTTCCAGTTTCAAAAGGCACAGGCCAGCAGATGATTAAAAGTCTCCCCCCTCACCCACAATGCCACCCGCTCCCACCCTATCCAGCAGCTTCCATCCACCCAAAGTGCACAGAAACAGGGGACTGGGAACAAAAGTTGCTGCCTCCTCTCCTGCATGCTGATACCCTCCCTCCCTCAATTAGTTTTTCATTGACTCTTTTCCATATCTTGCGTATCCTGTCTCTGCAAGAGAGAAGGACTACAGACATAAAGAAGCAAGCTACTGACTTCTTTGCAGTACAACAAGCTGGCCGCTAACCTGGCAGTTCTGGAGGACTGGGCCTGACTGGGACTGTCTGTATACAACGTGCTCAGAACTTTCCCAGGAAGGGCTGGAGGCAGACTGGGTTGTCACAGAAAGGCCCAGGTACTTATCAAGCTCACTCCAACCACACCAAGCTCCAGCTTTCCAGATAGAATGTGTAGCCAATATTGAAATAATTTACCCACTGATTTGGTCTAAGGACAACTGAGAAAGGGCTGGAGCCTGCAGAGAGCCAAGTACTCTGGCAGACTAAATGGGGCTGCCAACACTAAGCACTTCCTTTTCCTCTGGACACCGATTTGCATGTCAGGAGAGGCAACAGCCCTCTCCTTGCCTTCCAGCTCAGCTGCTAACCACAGCAGTGCTTGTGGTGGCAAAAGGCCAACAGAAGGAAATTCTGAACTGTCAGCTCAGCTCTCGGGCAGCGGAGCTATGCACTGAGAGAAGGATACTTGCAGGTTTTCCTCTCTTGCCAGCTACCAGCTTTCCAGCTCTAAGAAAAACACATTCACGTACTGCACTGTCGTCTAAATCAGGAGGTGGGTTTCTTTCATGGCAGCTGAGGCTAGAAAAGCAACAAGCCGAGACTCACTGGGCCACGTCCTGCAGAGTAGCCAGGGACAGCAAGCTGTGCCGAAGCCACCGGGGGCTGGCCGGCCCACAAAACCCGAACTGCGGCTGCAGGGGACAATCCTGCCCGCCGAGAAGATCCAACAGCAGCGAAGCGCTCTCTTCCCTGCTTGCCAAGAGTCGCAGCCCTGCCTTGCGGGGGAACTGCTCCCTCCCAGCGCGGGCTCTTCTGCCTTTTACAGCGAGTTCACTGAGTGGGGCCAAGCAAGTGACCCTGGGGCAGCGCAATGCTCGCACAGCGGCAGCCCTGTCAGAGCGACGCCAACCGCCTGAACTAACCATCACCCCCACTTACTACCAAAACCATTTTCTCCTCTGGCAAGAGGCAAGTGCCTCGGACGCCATCAGCATCCCCACGTAAGAAACCAGTTGCCAGATCAGCTGGGAGGGGAGACACTGGAACCTGCTGAGTTTGGAACCTGCCTATGAGTTTGGCAGCTGGAAGGAGACTTGGACCCACCGGACGGGCTCTTGGGGAGGGATGCGAACAGGATGCTCGGGACTGCGAGCCGAGCAGAGCTTTATTCCCAAAGCTATTTTGTTCCCCGACGGCAAAGCACCCGCGGACGGACGCCGGGCAGCGAGAACGGACAGGGCTTGGCGGACCACGCCGGGAGCTCGCCGGCACGGGGGGCACCGGCCCCG